GCTCTGATTGCAGAAATAAAGTCTAAATTACGTTTTGTTTTGTTTTTGTTTTTAGGGCAGCTCTGATTGCAGAAATAAAGTCTAAATTACGTTTTGTTTTGTTTTTTGTTTGGTTTGTTTGTTTGGTTTTTTGTTGTTGTTGTTGTTGTTGTTGTTGTTGTTGTTGTTGTTGTTGTTGTTGTTGTTGTTGTTGTTGTTGTTGTTGTTTTTGCTCCACTGAATTTGATTCTTCAAATCTGAACTTCTCTTTCATTTTTGGTCCTGTATCATTTGTGCTTGTGACTGTAATGAAGTTATATGGCTGCTTGTAGGGGCATGACACTTTTTTTTTTTTTTTTTTAGGAAAACTGCCGACTTTCATTGTGAGTGTGATGTTTTGTTTTCCTCTTTGGGATTTGAGCCTGGAGTTGAGTTTGATGTGAGTTTACAAAATGACCAGTGTTTAAAAAATAATAATAATTAATTTAAAAAAACTGCTACTTGATCAAATTGATCTCAAACGTTTTTTTGTACGTCCGGCTGCACTCACCACAAAAAAATGCTGGGTGAAAAAACAGAACACTGCAGACACTCACATACACACGCACAGGCAGTCACACACATCTTTGTACAGAAACAGTCATTTAAACAATTTATCCATCACAAAACTCATGTACCACACACACAAACAATATATACAACATCACACTATAGCTGACAAAAGTCTGTCCCACAGACATTCCTGTTTCCCTCACTAACATCAATAAACTCACACAGTAGGGAGGGTAAACAGTGGTTCAACAATGAGGAACTGGATCCAGTAAGTCCCATTTACGACAGAGAATCCTGTGAAATGCATCTTCACCTGTTGGAGTTCTGAGGCGGTAAATAATAAGTATATTTAAGTATTGATGTTTGAATAAAACCAGCTCTACTKGCAGGTTTTAATACTGTTTACTCTGCGTTTTTAATGACTGGCTTCAGTAACGGGTCGTAGTTGAGAATTAATGAGCCTTTTCAGAAAAAAACATCAGACCTTACAGAGAAAAACACTTTGGGGTAAACGTATTTCAGGGTTAAGTGTGAATGGGGACTGAACTGTAGTTTTAATGTCACGGTGAACTGAACAGTGGCACTGTAAGCCTAAAGACACAAGAATGAACACTGAGATCCTATCTGCAAACATCAAATACAAGCTTTTTATTCAGCCTCAGTCTCGATTAACCAATGGKCTTTACCAGTTCCATTACCGTAAATGTGTCTTTTTTCTATTATACGCCACATCACCCCGTGGTACAAATAYCTGCAGGAGTAGATGTTTACCACACCTCACAGGGCAGCTGAAATGAAGCCCGAGGTGTTGTGATGTTACAGGTGATCTACATGTGTTTGCTCTTCGTTGATGAGCTCTGTGCGCCTGTAAGGACACTGAATGGTGTGATCCACATTTCAAAGGATTCTGGGCTTACATTAGGGGGCGGGAAAGGCAGTCTCTGCTGTTGCTGTGAAACGGACGGGCAGCGCTGAAGCTCTCGGGGATGTTCGGGCTTCTCAAACACGTTCATCTCCAGCTGCGCTCCGTTGGACGCCCCGTCTTACTGCAGCACTTGGCCTCTCGTCTCGGGCAGCTTTGTCGCGAGGAAGCTGCCGGCGGCGAGCGCGCCGGCAGCGAACAGGATGGGTACGGCCTTGGTGATGCCGACGAACGACTGGAAGATGCTGATRCCCAACACGGCTGCCACTTTACAGAGGGCATTCAGGAAGCCGAACGCCGTGGTCCTGAAGGCAAACAGAGAGAAATCTAAACTTAAGTATAAATATTTTTACATTGACATCAGTATCAGTACCAACGTTGGTATTGTTATTGATGTTTGGATTGCCAGATCGATTCCAGGCCAGGGACCTTTCTGGGTTGAGTTTAAATGTTCTCTCTGTGCATGTGTTTTATCCGGGCACTCCAGTTTTCTCCCACAGCACAAAAACATGAATGTTAGACTAATTGGTAAAAGAGCATGAATGATTGTCTCTATGTGGTCCTGTGATGGACTTATGACCTGTACAGGGTGTACCCCACCCCTCGAACAGTGACTGCTACATATGGGCACCAGTGACCCCCGTGACTCCTGAGACGCTGCGTCCTCATGCGGACATGGCATTTTTGCCTATCTACTCATGATGCATCATTTTTTCAACTTTAACCCATTGTCCTCATTAATAGACACTACCAGCACCCTCTAGTGGTCCCATGACAACATTACACTCATTTGAATGAAAACAAGATGGCGGGGATACCAGTGAAAAGCTTCTAGAACAACTCTGGTAAGAAAAATGGCCAAAGTAAAAATCCAAGTTACATTTCACGCTTGAAACCAGCATATTTATGCACAGTTGCATCTTTAGCTTTATAAGACATGCAAAAATGTCATTTTTTTACAACTGAAGCAAAGTACAAAGTCGGTAAAAATAAAGTCCTCATTTGAGGACATTGGGACTATAATTTTGTTATTAATTGTGCCAGGAGGTAGGACAAATCTGCAAATATTTAGAACAGTTTACAAATGTAAATAGTTGGTGTAAGTGGTATATTTGATCACAAATTTTTGTTAAACAAATCTGGAAATATTTAGAACAGTTCACAAGCGCAAACAGTTTTTGCAAATGATACATTTGTTCAACCAAATAATTAAGCCAATGATGTTCAGGTCAAATGGTCTGCGATTTCCTGYAATTATGTCACATAATATGTTCTTCAAACTGAAGAGCAATCTGAAAGTTGTCGATGATGATGATGATGCACTTTACTAATCTTGCTCTGGTCAACAGCTGGCTGCTGTATTGGCAAAATAACTAGGAAAACTGAACCACCAGAAAGGCTATCATGAAGTTTCTCGAGTTTTGCATGGTAATTTCTTAGGTATTCCTCAAAAAGCATCACATTTGAGACCCAATGTCCTCATATGAGGACATCTTTTTTTTTGTTGCAAAAACCACTTCCTGTACCATGACAGGGTCCAGTTATTATACTTATTAGGTCCTACTAATCCCACGTATCTTAGAGAAAGAAAAAATGCTTATCCAGAAAAGGCTTGGGTCTCAGGAGGAAGAAGAAGTGGGTTAATATAAAAGATGGATGTTTGTATTGATTAGCATATTTATTTGGGACCATTGCTGTCAAGAGCTTTACTTGCCTCCTGTTTGCTGCTTTGCTGTGAAGAAAATTTTGTGTATTATTAACTGAATTTCTGATTTGAACATTTGCAGCTATATGCTTTAAATTGTGTTTCTATCAATGTGGCCTTCTTCCACAGGATAACCAAGGACTTGTTGACATTCCAATGGCTGATGTTAAAGGTACTGCCCCAAGGAGTGTGACCAGGAAGTTAGGTACGTGACTTTAGAAGGGTGATTCATCTTTCATTCTTTTTTTAGGGAAGCCTACAACAAATTCTGGACTGCAGCTAAGAGCTTTGTTATTGTTATGGCTCTGATAAAACCCAAGGCTTCAAACACAGGCCTAGGCTGGAAGACAGGCCGGAGTAGACTGAGTGGAGTCTTTTAATAAAGATTTTTAGAAGAGAATCAATTAGAATCAACTTATTACAGCTTCCAATGACGTTTTTCTTACAACTGCTTGTAGACCAGTGTAAATTTTCTTGAACTTTTCTGTTTGTGGCACAAATGAATTTAAACAAGAAGATAAAATAAAAGGTAAAACCATAAATGATGAGTGCAATGAAATCCTAGCGAGTGCTTATGATGTCTTGAACACTTAAATCCTCGTTTTTGTGGTTAAAACACTTCTTGACAAGAAAATGCACGCAGCGTTTTGACGAAAACAATCCTTACTTGTAGTGATAATCCAACAAATAGAAAAAGGTGAAAAGAAGCTGAAAACCTGAAGTCATCTTAACAGATGCTGTAAACAGCTGCYCTCGCGTTACCTTTTATCTGAAGGGTAGAGCTCCACCGTGATCACATCCAGGGCGTTCCACGAGGCGATGCTGATGCCACCAAACAGACACAAGAGGGCGATCATCCCCGACTCGCTGTTCCCAAACATGAGGAAGAAGCAGCTGACGCAGGATATGACGCTCGACCCGGCTGCGTGAGGAGAGGAAGGAGAATCACGCTGAGCAGAAACAACCTTTGAGGTCACGTCAACGGGAAATACTTTAGACTATAGATGCACCCACCCAGCATCCTTAAACGGCCGATTTTATCCATCAACAGAGCTGACACAATGTTCCCCGGCAGCACAGCCAGTGTACCCAGGAAGTTGACGAAGTATATCATGTAGGCGTTGTTGAAGTCGTCGCTGAAATCCAGCATGCAGCCCTCCTTGTTGTGGAGGAAGGTGCTGTTGATCAGTTTACAGTTGACAAACCTGTATTTGAATAAATCTGAGGAGAGGAAGAAAGCTTGAATGGAGTTCCAACCGTAAACCCACTGGAAAAGTTCGTGTCGGTCCAACTCCACTGTCATCAGCAGATGAGCAGGTGAATAAAAACAACGAAAACTTTAAGATAATTCCTCTTTGGGTCATAAATCTTCTTTAGTTTGCTTACACTTTGGTTTGCAGCAGATGAGATGAGATGTTTAGATTTTCTGTAAACACTGCTAAAACTTAAAGCGGCAACAAAAACTAAAGGCAGTCTTCTGGCTGGCAGGCAGCCATAAATCGCTGATTCTAATGATTTGGGTTCACAGATTTGGAAGAGCGCTTTAAAACTGACAGGATGAAGGGTGTTACTGTCACAAAAAGCCTTAGCTGAGAAAAAATCATTGACAAGCGAAGACACGGTTTTGTTTTCAGCTCTGACACAACGGTTTACAGTAAATCATCCAAACCACAAACAGCTGAGCTAAATATTTTAAACATGTCTGTCTGCACACACAGCTACATTGTTTTTCTTCTACAAATTTTGAAGCCCGTTTTCTCTCTCTCTCTCTCTCTCTCTCTCTCTCTCTCTCTCTCTCTCTCTCTCTC